CACAGATTAATAATTAATAATTATCTATTATTAATTATTGTGTTAATAATTAAGAGAGTTGGCTAATAAGAAGCCTGAGCCATTGGCCAAACAATTTATAATTAATATAAGCCTCTGTGTGTTTATTTAGGACTGAACCGCTGCAGAATGGGGCAGGACAGAAACTTGTTAGGAGTGGGTAGACAAAAACCTCCAAAGGAGGATGAGAAGAACAATTACAGACACACACAAAGACTACAGAATTAATGCAGTCCTTAAAGCAAAAGTTCAAGGGAAGACAGACATGGCAGTATAGGCACGCATCTCCATACTCCATAAATATAGAAAAGGAAACACCAGACTGGGCTGGGCCATTGAACTATCCCTGGTACCCTTGTTTTGAACACTTTCAGGTAGGCAACCAAGGCCAAGGTGTTTTGCAATTCACTGATAGAGGAATGAGAAGAGAGGAAGCAGAGGCACTAATAGAGTTGGGTGGAAACTAGAGGGGAAAGAAATTCAACTAAAAGTACCAATGAATTTGCATGGAAAAAGAGGAACAGACAATAGCCAAAGAAAGAGCCAAGGGAAGCAAAGGTTGTTTTCCTTCTTTTGTTTCCTTTTTCTCAAGGATGAGAAGGGGGATTTGATCATCATGACATGTTGTGGGAAAGGAGCCAAGAGAGGAGGAAAGAACAAGGACACTATATCAGTTATATTTCGGGTCATTGTGAGGAAATATCCCTCACACACATAAAAAACAACAACAAAAGGGGAAAGACTTTTATTTGGCTCAAACTTTGAGGGGCACAGCCCATCATGGTGGAGAAGGCATTGGCAGCAGATAGCTCCATAGTGATGGGAGCATGTGACAGCCACTGCCTCACATCTATGTGGACCAGGAAACACAGCAAGAACAGGATCCAGGCCAGGCTAGAAAACCTTGAGACCCATCTCCAGTGACCACACTACCTCTCGCCTCCTAAAGTTTCCATAACATCCCAAAACAGTGTCACTAGCTGGAGAAAAAATGTTCAGACATTAATCAACACAGTGCATATCACATTCACACCTGGACATTTTCTTCTTGGCCCCATAGGCTCATGATTGTTTCATGATGTAAGATAAATCCAGTCCAACTTCAAAAGTCCTATAGTCTTTAGCAGTTCTGCAACCATTCAAACATGCAAGTGCTGAGTCTCTTCTGAGACTCACAGCATCTCTAAACCATGAGCCCCTGTAAAATCAAGGCATTACACACATCCAGCACTGTCAGAGTAAATATGTCCATTCCAAAGGGAAGATGGGAAACACAGCAAGGGAAGGTCAGCCCCAGCTCTTTGTAGGATCATGTGAGGACATGCTGCAGCTGTGTCTTCCCATCTACACTGAGCAGGAAGCAGACAGAGGACAGACAGAGAGGCCGGGCTATACAGCCTCCAGTAACTCACTTCCTCCAGCTAGAGCATGACCTCCAAAAGTTCCACAATTCCCCCACAAATAGCACCAGCAGCTGGGGGCCACATAGACAAAGGCATGAGCCTATGGGGGACAGATCATATCCAGATCATGACAGACCTTAACTATGTCACTGTTTGTTTGTTTAGTGAGTAAATATCTGTTGCATGTCTATGCTTGGTTCTGAGCTCATTCTGACATTTTATGCTGCAATAACATAAGCTTATAGGGACATGCAGGAGTGACAAGGCACAGATATGTAATTCCTAGTGAAATGGGATGTGCCACACCATTCAGAAAGCTTCACCGTGCCCCTTCAAACACAGTGAGACTGCATGCCTGCTCTACGATCCAGCTGTTGACTGCTACAGCAGCCTGGAAGCTTTCTTCTTTCAAGTTAGGTTTATTTCAGCATCTTAAGCTCTACGGCTCCAAGGTTTCACATACAAATTGAAATTCTGGTTTATTTTAGAGAAGAATCGTTGCTATACAACACCAAATCCCCTGCTGTTAAACAACAACAAAAAGAAAAAAAAAACAAGTGTGAATTAAGTTATTAACTTGTTATTTTTGCCTAAGGAGCTGAGAGAAATGTATGGATTTCAGGTATCTAATTCCAAGTCTAATTGAAAAATTTTTGTGACCACCATGGGAATAGAATTTGTGTACTATTAGGAAACTTTGAGTTTCCTTAAAATTGCGCATGTGACTGATTCTTACAGAGATGCTGCTAAAGGAGGAGGCATTTTCATTCATAATACCACATGGGCAAATTAAGGAACACAAAACTAATGCTCAAATCAATAATGGCAGCATTTAGCTACAGGCTAGAACACCAAGTGATGTGGTAAATAAACTAGCTTGGTGGGGAATTGTTTGGAATCCCATTGTGAAATGGAAGACGGGACCTCAGGTTTCTCTACTGATCTCTTCTATGGTTGTCTCTTTGGGGAACCACAATTTCCCTCTCACTACTATGAACTCATCTTGCTCTAAGAAGCAGTTCAAAACCTCCAAAACTCATCAAAACAGAGGCATCAAGGCAAGAATTTATTGGCAAATAGCAAGTAGCAGGTGTGAAAACAATGTCTCTAAAGGGAAGATACACATATATAAATTAGTAATAAAATTAGGGGAAAAAAATCAAACTGGTCAGCACTCTGGAGACAGCAGCAGGTGGATCTCTGTGAATTCGAGACCAGCCTGGTCTAGAAAAGCTAGTTCCAGGACAGCCTCCAAAGCCACAGAGAAACCCTGTCTCAAAAAATAAATAAATAAATAAATAAATAAATAAATAAATAAATAAATAAATAAATAAATAAATAAATAAATAAATAAATAAATAAATAAATAAATAAATAAATAAATAAATAAAACAGGCCCAATCCATATCAGAGAAGTGTGGGCTCTGAAAGGACAATTATGAGGAAGCAGGACTCACACAACACGTTTCCGCTTTCAGACTGAAGTCACTGAAAGCAGCCACCAATCTAGCCCCAAAGGCTCCTTGATGGTTGGTTCCTCACAGGACACTCTCGGGAAACTGGAAATTACATATTCTTAATGATTTAGATGGTAAAAAATAAGATTTGTGCTCTTAAGCCAAGGCAGAGTTGGTTCAGTGTTGTGATTTCAGTCGGATCTAAAACGATTCTCCAACTGATTACACCTAAAAATCCCAACTGGGTGTGGTGGCAGGCACCTGTAATCTTCACTCTTACTAGCAGGAAAATGAACAATGGAGGCTGACCTGTGCTGCCTAGTGAGATCTGATTACAAACAAAGCAAACAAAACATAATGGAGCTTACACGCAAAAATATCAGCCTGGGGAGCCCAAAGACAGCAAAAATCAGACCCAGATAGCTCTTGAGTTTGACAACACAAACGTTTTTTTTCATATTAACTTGATTCTAACCTTTTTAAACGGTCACATTTTCTATTAGGACATTTACAATCCCTTAAAAAAAAAAATCAGCCACAAGTTGGCCTTAGTGGTACTCACCTATTATCCTAGTACTTAGGAGGTTGAGGCAAGAGAACTGTCAGCCTGAGTGACATAACAAGTTCAGGCGCAGCACAAGTTACACAGTAGAGACACTGCTCAGTCAAAGAAAATATGTGACACTGGGGGGGGGGGGGGGGGTGGAGTTAGGAGGTAGGAGTGTAACTAGGAGAAGCCAGGAATTGGGGGTAAATATAATGAAAATGCATTTCCTGAGAGTCTCAAAATTAATGGAGGAAATGAATGCTTGCCTATTATGTGCAAAGCCCTAGGTCTAATACTCGTAGTTGTAATTTGAGTTTCATTGGCTATGGGATAGATCCCAGCATAGGCTTCTTTAATCAGTAACTGAAACTAATTTATAATAATTTCGATTACTGTCCCAAAATATATACACTCTATAACTCACTTAAAAGTAATTGCATTTCTTAGGTGCCATGCCCAGTCACCTGTATGGTCACAACTAGCCAAGAATATAAACAAGCCTTAAAATGAAATGGATTCCTGCATAGAGAAGCCCTGTAATTTTAGCTTCTTACAGCTCAGAGAATATAATCTATAATTCAAAAGCATATTGGAAAGTAGCTGTCCTCACGCATTTGTCTAGTAACCAATTTGGGAGTTCAATACAAGCCGGCAAGCATCCTGGGTGTACTTTTCAGTATAGTAGAGAAAGTACCATAAGGAAAAGGACCATTTAAGATGGAAATGCTTATGTCATCTCTGATTGAATGACTGATTTCATAACAGAATATACAGTTTCAAGAGCACCTGAATGATTAAGGAAACCAAAGAGGGACTCTAGACTTTGCTAGAAAGCACTAATAAAGAGCCCTTGGTGACTCCCGTGTTTCCCCCTCTATGTTAGACATGTAAGAGGTTACTTCCCAGCACCACCTGCCGTGTTTGTTAATGTTGGTAGAAGAGCTGTAATATGATAGCAAAAATGGCTCTCAAATAAGAATTTAAGGAGAACAAGCTATAGCAGAGATTCCGTTCTCCCAGCTTGTGAAAACTGTGCTTAGATGACATTTTCCAGCCTTCCATAGGCCTAGGTATGAACAATTGCTCAGCAATTGTCAGTGGAGTGAGTAAAGTCAGAACGTTTGACCTCTGATCGCTCTAAGGAATTGACCCCTTCCCTGCAGGAACTCTCAACAAATTTTTGAATTCAAGAAATGAACTTTAACTTCCTTTCAGGAATGGATTTCAGATTGAGATTCTGTCTATATCCTGTCCTTCCCTTACCTAATACAAAGGTTCACAGGAACTCAGAAATGATAGAAAAATCATGGCCAGGTCAGACAGGAGGACAGAAGGAAACTGCCCTTTCATGTACTGAGCAGATCCTACACAAAGCTACAGAGGTCAACATGTTTCTACATACAAACATTGTCGTTCTGTGTATATCAGGTATAGACAGAAGTAAGAGAGACCAACTAAATAATTTTAACTCTAACTTAGCCCAAACCAAGGAAAAACGCAAAGGTGTGCCGGTACAGGAGTTCCCTGAAAGGACAAAATCCAAGTACTGTCATGATGGAATTCCCTGGGGAGTACCTCTTCCGTTGGCTTCAGAGTTCTTCCCTCAGCAGGCTTTGGCTTCACCTCAGAAGAGAGAGGCAGGTCCACAGAAGGAACATAAGCAGGAACGCTGGTGATTATACCCTGTTCCACTTCACCTGGAAGTAGCATCCAATCTGTTGGGTACAAAATATCTCAGCTGATCCTTGGGAAGTTCACCATGTCCCCAATTCACCTAAGAGCCTGTGACGATCAAAACAGGCAGATGTGCTCCGGGAAAGCTGACACTCTGCACTGTCCTGGGCCTCATCTGTGAAGCTAGTCAAAGGACTCCCCTCACTATAAAATAGAAGCTGCATGGGTGTCAGTTTTTATCATGTGTGGGGGTTATAGTCCATCTGGAAAGTGGGAGGAAGGCGTAGGGAGTAACGTGATGGCCCTCCCATTCTCCCTTTCTACTACTACAGGAAAAGAAAGCAGGAAGGCTCTTTTAGCCTCATTTTCCCATATTATCCTGAGGGGATGAAAAGAAAGAAAATGGAGTGCAGATTTCAATCTGTAACAAAGCAAATATATATATATATATATATATATATACATATATATATATATATAAAATCAGGATGCCAGAGAGAAAATACTTCAACTTCCAGCAGAAAAATGAAATACTCTGTCACATGAAGAATGCACAAGCTCATTTTCAACACTTGCAAACAACATGTTTCCTGCTTGCTTAGCACAATCACAAGAATTCAACAACCAATCTTAGTTTCCCCGTGGATTGATTTGAAGTGGTTATGTTGGCTTGTTTTCACATGTGTGACACTTCATGTATCACAGTGGTATCACAGATGCCACTGAACTTCTGCAACCTTCCTTAGGTGAGAAAACAGATACACAGAAGCATAAGACTTCCCTCCTTGGTCTAAACTTCCAGAATACTAGAAGAACTAGTGAGAGCTAGCCAAAAACTTAGAAGTGGCACTGCATGCTACTGCCTGCTACTCTAAGATGATCCTCATTAAGCCACTCATTAAGTTCTCAGTGGAAGTGATTAATTAGCAACAGGCATATCTAGGCTAATGGCAATGGTGGCATACATAGGAAGATAACTGTGCAGGTCTGATATTCAAAAACTGAGACTGTTCTGAAAGGCACCTTTCATCCCCATAGACATCACACTCAAAAGAAGGAATAACTGTTGTATTTCATTGTTAAGAAACAGAACATAGTCAGGTGGTCTGGAAATTGAGGACTGGTAGGGAGACAGTGAAGAAGGTAGTTTATGGAGCTTGCTGACTGGAATTTTAGAAAATCACCTCATAACTGGCGTAAATAAAAGCAATTAAAACAACCGACACTGATAAGTCCAGTATTTCACAAGGACCAGAACAGCTAATCCTCCCAGCAGCTCTTACTGTTCTCTGTTGTAAGCAATGAGCTCTCCACACTGAGAGAGACCTCCCTCAGGATTCCACAGCTAGAAAGGCAAAATTGGGCAGTCTGCCTCCAGAGCCAGGACCTCAGCCAATGTCACATTATGCATTTTTAAACAAGCATTTTAATTACATGTTTAATTTTGCTTCAGGCCAAAAAGTGTTACCTGTCGCTCCTGAGCATAACAGGCAGCACTAAGTGCATTTTGTAAACATCTGATGCCCAGAAAGACATGGGCGAGAAACTGGCCTCTTAATGTACCTCGTTATGAGTTCAAAGCCAAACTCCTGCACTGAGCTCCCTCATGCAAGAGCCTTGGGTATGTCCAAGGCTGGTGAGAACCTGCCAACAAGCACTAAAAAAAAAAAGGCTTAGGCCTCTCAATGTGAGGACCAACATCTATCCGATCAGTTGGCTGCTGGTGCAAACACTAGGTCCAATGTGAAATCAGAATCAATCCTGCTCTCCAGGCTTGTGTTTAAGACCATGGTTCTGTCTAACAAAAGGTATGGCAAGCAGAACAAGTGTCCAAGTCCTTTACTGAAACTTACAGCCTTAATCTGTTGTCATCAAAAGCAAGACTTTCAACTACAACAAAAGTGACTTCTTTTATAACAATTCTACTGCCATGGGAACAATTATTTCAAAGCAAAAAGATTCCACGTCCTCACCATCTGAAATTGCTGTCACCTTTTCTCTGGGCTAAGATAAAATTCAGGAATGCATACTGTCAGAAGCTAACACAGTGCCTTTATACATGGTGAATGCTCAACCAGGACTTAGAAGCAGGACATTAATTTTCTGTTTTACAAAGTTAAACTGAGCAGTAACTATCAAGAGCCTGTATACCAACTACCAGTTAGACACCGTGTGTAATGTAAGGCAAGCACAGTCCATCCCCTCAAACACTGAAGGGTGTTATAGGATACATTTTCCACATAAAAAAACAAAATGAGAAAAACCAAAAGCAAAATTGAATTGTTCTGACTCTAAGCATTACAGAGCTATAAAAGGTAAAACAATACTGACAGAAAGAGCCTGGTAGGACATCTATTAGGAAAGAGAATTGCTCCCATCTTACAGCCATCTCACAGTTATTTGTATATATATTCATATCTCCCAGAGGTGGGGGGCATAATATTCACTGATGATGAGGAATGAATTATCTGAAGTGGCCTTTTAACAGTCTATCAGATCTTATTTATTGTCTCAAAAACAACCAAAAGGCTTCTTATATTTTGAATGTCCTTGGTAGCTGGGTGCACTGTAGAGATGGGGCAATTTCCCAAAGTAAATCTTGTGGCTGACTGATAAAGCCGGTTGAGGCTGTTTAATTCTCCTTTGTCAAGAACATGTTAAGGATTTCTAATATTTAGAAACAATGCATGCCATTATCTATCAGTGTTTAGTCACTGATGGGCAACTCAAAGGCTACAACCATGGAAGCTAATAAATAACACTTAAAAGTGAATGATCTAGGCCTGGGACCTTGGCGATGACTAAGCAGTTAAGAACATTGGCTGCTCTTCCAGAGAACCTGTGTTTGATTCCTAGCACCCACATGGCCACTTGCAACCATCTCTGGCTCCAGTCTTGAGGGAATCTGATGTCCCCTTCAGGCCTCCATGGGCACTGCAGGCATGTGACACCCAAACATACATGCAGGTAAAACACCATACACATAAAAATAAATAATTTTAGAGACTTAGTAAAAGTAATGGTTTTCAATCCTATATTAAGGGCATTTTTCTATTAAAACTGAAATTCGTTTTGACAATATATGACAGTGAAGATTATAGCTGTACTATAGTTTGGTGCCACACCTCTGGCTCACACTAGGGTACCCTTCCAATCATTGCTTTTATAACTTCAGTGATAATATGAATAAACATGATGTGGAGTCCTCAGGGTTTCCCAAGGATTCTCAGACTACATCCTCTAGGATCCACTGTTCTAGCTAGTATCAATCCAACCATCTCTCTGAGAAAAACTTGAAAGGCCAGATAAATTCTAAAACTCAACTATTGAAAGCATTGGAGGGGTACTAGGGCAGCTTATATCTTAAAAATTTATCCCCCCAAAAGGAAAGAGTTGAGAAATAAGTCTCAGGGTTACAGCGGCTTTTTCAACTCCAGGCATTTTTATTGGTTTGCAAGCAGAGGCTATAAAGTCAGAAAGCTAAAAGGCTCTAAACATCAGGACCGAAGAGATGGTAGAGTGGTTAAGAGCACTGGTTGCTCTTCCAGAGGGCTGGAATTCATTTCCCAGCACCCACATGGAGACTCACAATCAGCTGTGAGTCCAGTGCCATGGGATCCGATGCTCTCTGCCAGCCTCATGGGCAATGCACACATGTGGTACACAAATAAACACACAGGCTATAAACACACAAATATACCCACACACAGTTTTTAATACATCTTTTTAATTTCTTAAAGTAAAAAGCATAACAGAGATGCAACAGGGCTATGAAGGTAAAGCTGAAATGTCCTCAGTGCTGTGATGTGTCCTTACATTGAGGAATGCTAAATAGGGAAGCTCAGAGCTCATACAAAGTAGTTATAAGAAAGCTGCACACACAGAGAAAACAAGGCACACAATTCCCAACAGCATGAAAGCCACAGCTGACCCACATACAACTAGTTTCTTTCCCTAATCTATCTGATTAGGAAAACTCTTCATTTCCTTGGATGGATTCTGAAGAAAAACAACAACAACTAGAATCGTCTTCCCTGTTCTTTCTTCATGCAATAATAAGTATGGGGGAGTAGCTTTTTAATCTGGTTAAGAAGGCTTCCCAAATACACCGTCATAGATGGATAAGTTAGCCAATATAAAAACTAGAGTAGTGGGAATAGAGCACCATTGTAAAGCCAAAAAAAGAAAAAAAAGAAAAAAAACTCCTTTCTTATGCTTTTAGCAAGCAGTGAAACTATCAAAGGATGATGCTTTAAATTGGTTGGAACATGCCATCTTCTCCTAGCCTATGACTCTCCTGTGTACAGTTCCTTATGCCATAGCATATTAAACTGTGGGTTGCAACCTATATGGAGTCATATAACCAAGTGTAGTAGTTGTGAAAAGTTTGGTAAGAGAAAGGGTTTCTTAAGACACAATGACCAGAAATTAAGTCAAATTCCAAGGGGTGGGGGAGATCTAGTCCCTGCTCCAAATGATGTGACAGACTTTGAAGATTTCCCCATGGAAGGCCTCACCCTCCCTGGGGAGCAAAAAGGGGATGGGATAGGCAGTTAGTGGGGAGGCAGGGGAGGAGGGGAGCGGGAACTGAGATTGACATGTAAAACAAGATTGCTTCTAATTTAAACTTAAAAAAAAAAAAAAGGAGAGGAGAGGAGAAAAAAAAAAATAGGTGGATCAACAGAATGGAATCAATGACCCAGGTATAAATCCACACACCTCTGGACAAAGAAGCCAAAATTATACAATGGAAAAAAGAAAGCATATTCAACAAATGTGCTGGTCTAACTGGATGTCGACATATAGAATGCACATAGATCCACATCTATCACCTTGCACAAAACTCAAACTCAAGTCCGAGTAAATCAAAAACCTCAACGTAAGTCCAGTTACACTGAACCTGACAGAAGAGAAAATGGGGAATATCCTTGAATACATCAGTGTAGGAGACAACTTCCTGAACAGAAAACTAATAGCACAGACACTAAGATCAAAAATTAATAAACAGGACTTCATGAAACTGAAAGGCTTCTGTAAGAGA